CGTGGACAGGGCAAACGGCGCCGCAGAGTTGGTCGACGGGGTCCACCGAACCCCCCTGCCAACCGGCAGGAGGCGATTGCACCCCAAAACTCATCCAAAATGGCCCACTACATTCCATATCAAAAGCTCATGATTCCATCTATGGGTATGTCTACACTACCCCCCTAGTTCGAACTAGGGGGGTTAATGTAGGCAACCGAAGTTGCAAATGAAGCCCGGGAAATTCAAATCCCGGGCTTCATTTGCAACTTCGGTTGCCTACATTAACCCCCCTAGTTCGAACTAGGGGGGTAGTGTAGACATACCCTAAGGTGCTGCAAGACTATTCGTTGTTTTACGTTTTTCCAATTTCCTCTCCCATCACCTAATGTTTGGAGCCAATACTGTAAAAGGACTCTCACCCCAATTACCTTGATTATCACCTTTGCTTGGCTAGGCACCTTCTTGGTGCTCACAGCAATTTTGGAAGGGATGTTTATCAAAAGTTTCTCTAATTTTTATTGTTAATTTTTGTTGTAGTAAGAATATCATAGGGCTGCTCAACTACAAATGTGATATCTTTCAGCACCATTCCAGTGATGTAATAAAATAAAATATTCCGGAAAATGTTTACTGTATCATAATTTGGCCATGACAAAGTTAAGCTGACTTGTATGGCATAGACACCTCATTTTAAATATTTGCAGCTCTTGCTCCGGGCAGTTAATGTGTGCCTACATTTCCTAATTGTAAAGTAATGTGGGAATAATGGATGTGTATGGTTTTAGCTATCATGGACACTGTTTTAAGATTCCAAATGTTTTTATTCAGGCACACAATGTTCTGTTGACAATAGTCATCCATTTGTTGATGTAATCTTTATAGTGGCTGTCAAGTGTTATGATGGACCTCAAATAGCAAAAGCTGTCTACTTGGTCAATGTTTACACCAATAATGATTAATTTAGCTTGTTCCTTGATTTTTGATGATACTATTAGTTTGGTCTTTTGTTCATTCTTTTTTAATTCCCATTCTCTGGCTGTTGTGTACAGGTTAGTTGCAACTTTTGGGTTGTATCCCCCCAGAGGCATTATAACTACAATATTTTCTGCAAAGTCTAGGTGACTGATAATTGGTCCCCAAAATCTTAAGGGAGTCGGACAAGGTGTTTTATAAGTATAGAGCAAAATCTTTGGCTTGAATGTTTAGTTCTGCAAGAAGGAGCTCATGGAGCCCAAATGGGTCCTGCTTCCCAAAGATTCCCAGAACTCTGCAGAACAAGGAGGGAAAATCCTTAAGCTTGAATATGGAGAAGCAACATTCTGAAAGAACATTTCTATGGTAACTATTATCAGTGTGGAGCCTAAATCTTAATTATCTACAACCAAGCCTAACTTCATTCATTTCTTTACAGCTAAATCATAGTGTCAGTAGAACAGATCTCAGACAGGGAAGCTCTGAACTATTCTGTAAACCTCAGCTCAGTGTTGCTGAATTTTTTTTGTTTAATTTGATTTGAGTTTATTTGTTGTTTGTTTGTTTTTGTAACATTTACTTGAAAAACCTGATAGAAAATTTAGAATAAGAGGATTTAATTTAATATTAATCTAAAGATATTTCAATTTTTTACAGAAAATATTAGAAAGTAATGGAAAGAATAGTCTTCTGAATCTTCAACTGGAAAAATGTAATAGGTTATTAACATTAAGTCAATCTAAGGAAGACTCAGTAAAAGAAGGTAAGTATCATTTTAATGTTCAAAAACAGTTGATTGTGTTGAGACCTTGATGTAAAGTGTCAAATTTAAGCAAACAAAGATGCTAATTACCTTACCCATTACAAAGATAGCTTCCCCAATTATCACCTCTAATATCATTAGCTCACAGACATTTACCTCCCCCCACCTTATCCCCCCTCTGTTCTGAAATCTGATTTGTCCTTTTCATGTGTGTTCACTTTTTTTGATTGTATCCCTTTGGTATATATGGTCATGCCAATTTTCTTCCACAATTTGATCTGAGGAAGTGGGTCTGGCCCACGAAAGCTCATCACCTAATAAACCATTTTGTTAGTCTTTAAAATGCTACATAGTCCTGTTTTTTGTTTCAGCTAGACTAGACTAACACGGCTACATTTCTATTACTATTCTGGAGATTACTCTTTTTTATAAGTAATTTTTCAGCAATTCATATGAGATTTTTTTTATATGAAGTGATATATATTAATGTTTGAAATAAGTTATTATGAACATGTATCTCATTAAATTCATATATGCTGCAGATTTCCTTAACAAAATCAGTTCCATGGAAGGGTTATTAATGTTTGCTGGTAAAATGCTACAGCTATTTTGTCACTCAGCTACAGGGATATTCTTTTGGATTTAGTTCTTTTCTATTATTCCTGAAAAATAAACAATCTAAAGCTTTTTTCACCAGTCTTGGACACAAACTTTTTTTTTTTGGCCACACATAGGTGAATTTGTTCAGAGCATCTTGGAGACTTACTGTATAAATATTTATATTAATAGTTAATATAGCTTTAAAGCTACATAGTAAACATTTTTCCAGGAATATTCTATTTTATTATATCACATTTGTAGTTGAGCAGCCCTCTGATATTCTGTAGTTACTATGAATCAGGTAAAGGAGAGTTCTACAGGTTGAATCTCTCTAGTTCGGCACTATTTGGTCTGGCAACATCCATGGTCCAGAACGATTTTAGTTAGGTGGATGGCCATTTATCATGAGTGTAGCCAAGTTTCCTGAAGTCCCATCAAGATTGTTTACAGCCACCAGCCCTGGCTCTTGATGTTCTGTGCTGTTACTTAGCTCTAATTTACCCATAAATGTCTTCTAAGAGATCAGTAAACAGTGGAAGTGTTGATAATGCTGCTAGACAATATTGACCTACCATGTTCTAGCAAATTCTCTGGTTCAGCACCAGTCAGGTCCCGGGGGTTTTGGACTAGAGAGGTTCAACCTATAGTACCAAAGGCACTGTCTAATGAAGGTCCTACCTCCATTACTGTCAACATTTTATCTTGGGACAATGACATTTACAGATCCATCAACCTCAGTTGATGTAGTGGGGCTTAGGCCCATGTAAAATCTCTCAAGAAGATTCCAATGGGAGGAGGGTTAGGCCAAATCTGAGTACTTTTGAAAATCCCTCCCATATCTTATACCAAATTTATCACTCAAATAATATTATCATAGTATTGTCAGTATTCCCTACATTTTGTACAAGGGATATCGATGTAGTGTTAATTCCTTACACATAGCAATTCTAAAAACATTAATAGCAAAAACTTCAAGTGCTGCTTAGTGGAGAATGAATTCAATTAAAGCCAAACACTGAAGTGGTGTTTAACAAACTATTCTGTACTTAGCACATATTTGCCCTTTTTATTCAGGAATCAAACAATGATTTACTGTAATTCTTTTTTACTTACTTTCAATTTCAGTTCCTTAAACTGTGTCTTGTGTCCTTACAGGCTTATTTTCAGTAATAATGTTTATTCATACAAAAAAAATAGATTATATACCACATCTCAATGTTTTGTTATTAGAATCCAAGGAAAACCTACTTTCTTCAGATATAAACTATAGAGGGAGAGCACCAGTGATTTATAGGTAGAGTTGAGAGCGCCATCTATAGTTAAGGTCATCTGACACTAATCATTACAAAAACCTGGTTTCAGTTGCTCTGTCAAATAGTGTGTCCTGAAATTTTCAAATCTATATATCTGCCTTGGGTTGAATTCTTTTAGAAATTTTCAGCAAAAAAAGTTGAGCTCCTTCTCAAAATAAAGAGAGGAAAATACATTATTTTAGACATTAAAAATCTTACATTTTTGGTGAGATGCTTTGGTTCCTTCACACATTAGAGCAGGCATTTAATTTGGAAGGCATTTAATTTGACATCTTTAATGTCAAAGATGTATCTTTTGTCATCTCTTTAAAAATCCCCCAAAATTTGGCCAAATTCTGAGCCTCTGAAAAATCTCAGTTCACAGTAGAGACAAATCTCAATAGATACTTCAAAGTTTGACAAGAATTTTTCTGAAGAGTTGTTCTGTACAGAGCGTATTCTAGTTTGGTACTATTGTTCATTCAATTGATGCTTCTGGCTTCTGTGGATGCTTGGCAATAAACCCAGGAAGTGAGAATAAGAAGATTGTCTCTCCTGTGCTCTTGATTCTCCCCCCCACCCCCCCATGGGAAGCAATGTGAATGGGAGGGGGAAGTAGCCAAAAACAGAGGGATAGTGGAGGGATTAGATGGGTTGGGCCAGGCCCGATTAAGGGGGAGGACTAGCCGGGCAGTTGCCTGGGGTGCCAACCTATGGGAGGCGCCTGATTGCAACTGTAAGGAATGCTGTGCAGCCCCTACCCCCAGGCGCACGGTGCCCCTTACAGCCTGGGGGCGGGGGCCGCCATCTATCCCCTGCACGTTTGGGATCTGTGGTTAGAAGACTTTTTAAACAAACATATATAATCACAACTTTTCCTAGCAAGTTTAGTGAGATGTAATTTATAAGCAGTAAATTCCTAGTGGTTTCCAATCAGATATCCAGGGTTGCTGTCATTCATTCAAGAAGCTGTGGGATCAAGTTCATCCCTTCAATAGGAGAGAAGGAGCCTCATCTTTAAGTGCATGTAGTGAAAAGCAAAGAGTGAGCAGGACTTCCATTAGTGCCCCAGTATACCTTTGAATTTTCCTGCACTATTTGCCATGAAGCAACCACACCAATGCCAGGCAGGGAGGCAACACTGGGGGGGTGTCTACACAGCAAAGTTATTTCAAAATAACAGCCATTACTCTGAAATAACTATGTGAGCGTCTATACAGCATTTCCATTATTTGAAAATAATTTCAAAATAATGGACGGCTTATTCCGACTTCTGAAACCTCATTCTATGAAGAGATTTATAGCTGAAATAGCTGTTTCAAAATAAGGCATGTGTAGACTCTCCACTTCTGCTACTTTGAAATAGCCCTTCCCCAGGCTATTCTAAGGGAATGTCTAGACCAGTGGTCCCCAACGCGGTGCCCGTGGGCGCCATGGCGCCCGCCGGGGCATTTGTAG